CCTTTGGGTTTTGTTGCATTGTAGTGGGGGGGACAAAAAAGGATCCCCCCCGCCTGCCAATGAAATCACCTTGGAGGGTATAGTTAACTGCAAGCTTAATGAGGTCCTGCTGTGTAATGTGGCTACTAAAATGTATCCCAGCTTTTGGATTGTGCACAGAAATAGAAATGATCTTATTGCCTGTGTTGGTCCTGTTGTTCTAGAGTATTATTCACATGTTGGAATGTGTGTTTAATTCTGGATGTCACCTTTTTAAAGGGAAGTCATTCCAAATTGGGTAATCAGAGAATGAGGGTTTGAGACATCATGTCACATAAGAATGATTCAAGGAACTATCCACTACTTGTCTTACCTTTTTTGTTGATTTCGCTTTTGCTCTTTGGTCGCTTGTTTTAGTTTAGTGAACAGACGTCAAAGGGAAGAGTTCTCAGAATATGTTAATATAGACTTCTGTATTCTGACAGTAAAAATGGCAACAATTAGATGGATGTTAGAAGTATTCATCTTGGGGTTTCACCTCATCTTTCTTTACCTTTGCCTGTATCGTGATGGAGGTTAGAAAGTGACGTGAAATGGGCAGGATGGGGAACTAGTGTGTACAGCAGAGCTTCTGAAACTTTAATGTGCATGGGAATCACCAGAGGATCTTAAAATGAGCCTGCATTTCTAACAAGATGCCAAGCGGTTAAGGCACTGGTGGTCTTTGGAGCACACTTGGAGTTGCAATGGTATGGAAGGATGTACAAGGCTGTAATATCTCTAACCTGGACTGTGGGCTTTGTAGAATTGTTAGATGGTGCTGTTTACTGCAAGGTGTGTAGTGTCTTCATGTGTTTACTTTCTGTGCCCCTTTTTCTTACATGTCTGTTATAAAACTTGGGGCAGCATGAGGTTATGCTGTTATTTTTCCTTTTAATAAAAAGATTATGTAATGACCATAAACATTCTAGTTTAATTCCTGATCTGTTGCCATTTTCAAAGTTATTTCAAAGAATGGTAGACATTTTACAAATGCAAAGAAAACCCTGTCACTTTTACTTTTAAAGGTCTTATTACTCAGTCTTCCATTTGCCAAAGAAAGTGATTTTTCGCAGTCAATAGCCAAGTGAATCTAGATCTATGTGAAGATTTTCTTTTCCCCCCCGCTACAGCCAGCAGACCCAATTATTTTTATTTATTTCAGTGTTTGCAAAGCATCTTTTGGTCTTGGGGAGAAACAAGTAAGAGATTTTGGGGGAATGAGGAAAGGTGGTGTGTCATCGGGAGCCTGATTGTTCTTCTCAAGTTTTAGATGGTCTATTAACCTAGAGGTCTTATGGAAACTCCAAATGACAAGAGCTGTTTTTAAATCTATAATGCAGTTCACAAGAATAGACACACACTCTGGGCAGCTGAATTTGCATCAGAATGAGGCTGCTAGACTCCATATCAGTGGCTATGCCTCCTCCTGTGTCTGCCTTTATTAAGCTGACCAGTAAAGTAGAATGGACTGAATGCTTGGCTACTTTGTTCCTCGGGAAGAAGAACAGGGAGAACTCAGAAGGGGTAGTTTGTGATGGAACTGGTTGGTGTTTATCTGAGGGTAAGGGACTGCAACAGGGGCCGCGGATTTGGGCCCTGTAAGGCCATGTGGACGGAGATGGGAGATGGGCACTGTTTTTTGCAGGGAGCTCTAGGTGGTGGCAGAAGGGGTGGTGTGGCCCCTGTGTTAGGACATTGACACGCTTACTGCTGAGAATGTGAGGTGTCGCCTGGCCCTGTTGGATTAGTCACTGTGGGGAGTGTTTTGGGGGAGGAGCTGTGATTTCAGTCAGGAATTAGAGTGATTTCAGGCACTTCACTTAACCCATTCTGGAAGTTAGGCACTGGCAGGCCAAGTGTGGGTAATGGTACATGGGAGGTGTGAGGCTGAGTTTGTACAGTTTTCAGAACTCCTGAGCTCTCACTCTGTCAGGCATGTTTCAGGTGCTGAGCAGGAGAAACGATTTCCTGACTCCATGGAGACATTACTTCTAAATAAGACAGCTACTGAAAAGGGGGCAATATAACAGAGGGCCGGACTTAAAGGTCATAGAAGCTCTTGGGCTGGGGCCTGGCCGGCGAAGAGGGGGGTTCACCTGAGTTGCTTGACTTCTGGTGAGGGAGTTAGTTACGTCTGGGTTGTTTTCTAGAGCGCTCAGTACTTGGTCCTTCAGAACTATGATAAGGGTGGGTAAGCGTTAGGCCTCTGAAATACCTTCTTTCCGGCTTTCCAGGACACGCAGCTTAGGTTGCACAGCCCTGTGCTGCCTCGTGGTTGGGTGCAGGCCCACCTTGCTAGGCTCCCAGTAGGGAGGAGTGTAAGCGGAATGTAGCGATTCATCGTGACTCTGCAGCTGTGAATGGCAGTTGGATTTCTAATCTCTGAATTCTTACCTGCTGAGCTTTTGGAAACAGAGCACAGTCGACTTCTTACCTGCTAGGTTTGCACCTTGCATCAACACTGAGGGAAATCTTGACCAGCATTCTAGATTATAAAAGAACTCGTGTGTGTGTGTGTGTGTGTGTGTGTGTGTGCGCGCGCGCGTGTGTGTGTTTTGTTTTGTTTGATTTTTAATGTCTAGAACTGGAAACCCCATACCCTGTGTCCTGGTTTGCTTCTCCTGTATTTAAAGTACTTTATAGGGGTCATGGGGCTGCTGGTGTCAACTAAGTGAACCTTAAATGCATCTTCCTTTGCAGGAGTTTTCCTCTCACATGGTTTATGTTTTAATTAGATATTAGTTGTCGGGGTATAATTCTCCCATATGGAGGCCTGGAGCCAAAATGAAGGCACCAGTCTGAACAGGAAGCAGTAAATCGTCACAGGAATTTTACATTGAAAGGTATTTTGGGGCTTTACAATTTATAAACTCTGTGTATGTAGGAAATAATCATTTATAATCACAGCCTGGCTTGTTGTGGAGACCTGAATGCTGAGGGTAGGAACCTGGGGGTGGTGAAGAGAATTCTGCCCGACAGACTTCCCTGGATCCTGAAAGGTGGAATTCAGCCCAATGAGCATGAACTCTTCCTGAGGTTAAGATTATTATTCAGTTGAAACCAAAATGCTAGAGGCATTTTCACGCACACTGAGGGGAGTTGCTTGTTGCCAAGAGTGATTTATTGTGCTTTCCACGTGTTGTGTAGCTGAATCATTTGCCTCTTATGCAGGTTGGTTCCTTGGGCTCTTCAGGTGGGGTCTGGTCAGAGCGCTTCGTTTTCCTGGTTTTCAGCCACGCAATTGGCAGGTCTCTGGTGACTTGGACCCAGTGGGGGTTAAGAAGTAACGTGTGTTCCTCCCGCAGGGTGGAGGCCAAGTCTGCCTTCAGCCTTCATGTGTGGACTCGACCACCACCCTGGTCTGTAGATGCCTTGTCTGTCTTAGGAGAGCGACTGGGGACACAGGATGTGCCTTCTTCCTCTGGAGGTGACGGAAGCCTCGGCTTGGCAGGTCTGCAGAAGTGAAGGACATCCGGGCTAGGTGGAAATCCTAGCTCTTTTCTCCCAGGCCTTCTCTTCCCCTTGTTATGGAAGATGGAGAACCACTGTCATTCTAAGAAATCCTGGAAGCTTAACAGGAGCACCGCCTCAGTTATTTAGGGTTTTAGAGTCTGTGTGGTTGGATTTCTAAGATGTAGTGTGTGTTTATGCAGCGTTTAGGAATTTGTGAGCTGGAGAAGACCTTGGATAATCTATTTCCCTTATCTCGGCCCCTGGAGGGTTTAGTTGGCCGGGTAAGTGGCAGGGAGTAAAAAAAACCAGTTCTGTTGGATGTTGAGTGTAATAGCACCAGCCTGACTCTAGGGTATTTGGCCTCCTGTTTGAACAAAAGGAACCTGAGTATTCCAAATCCTGCTTTACTGGGGTATTAAAGTTTTCCTTATTCTCTTAAGGCCCCAAATAACTGAGAAGCCCATAATCCTTCCATCTCTAAACTGAACTCATAAAATGCTTAAGTCTTGAAGTAGGTGTGTGACTGTAAGAACTTGTTAGATTAGCAAACGGTAGGCAGATATCCACAGAAGAGAACCTGTGAGTCTCCCAAGCTGTGTGAAGCAACTCTTTAAACCTTAAAATAAACAACTCTCTTGCTGGTTCCCTAAAACAGTTAACTCATTTGGGGCACCGGTATCGACCATCTCCGTCTTCCCAGACTTGGCTGTTGTCCTGCCGGTCTGCAGTCTCTCTTTCTGTGTTTACTGCTGGAATTGCTGGAGTGCCCTCTGGTTCTTTGGTGTGCCCTCCCGCCTCACCTTTATTTTGACATAAGGGAGCCACACTTTTAAATGAGATCTTCAAGACCTATTGGATGTATTCTTTTTCAAAAATCATCCCCCCATCCCCCTGCCACCCCATTCTCTAGTCCACAAAGATCCATTGCCCATTTCTGCAGTGGTCCCTCTCCCTCTCTCGTTTTTGTGATTCATCACCTTAAAAGGCCAGTACAGATCCAGTTTCATTTCTTCTGACGGAACTGTAAATTCCTTGAAAGGAGCACCAAACCCTAACACCAACAGTAAGTAAACTTTCCAAAGGGGTGTAGCGCGTGTCTGTGAGGTGCCTACGTTCTGGCATTATTCGCTTTAAAGAACTCCAGTACAGTGATGCATTACACCTCCTGTTGTGGCTGCAGTAACTCCTTTTTTTCTAAACTTTGCCAGGAATATAAAACTTCACTATTGCCAGTGAATGACGGGATTTGGGTGCGGGCCATGTAAAGGAAGTGCGATGCTTGTGTCTCTCTTCCAGTCCCTTTACAGCCTGAGGGGTGGCTCTTTGCTTGTGGTCTCTCCAGGAAGGGCCAGTGCCCTCCCTCCACTATAGGATGTAGTTCTGAGCTCCAGAACTTGATCTCAGTCACTCAATACTTGTTTGGGATTTGTTGTTGTTTTTTTTTAAAGTTTATTCTGACTCTTAATTAACATTTGCTTGCTTTCCGTTAAGTAATCCCCTCTCCCCATTCTTTCTTGTTTCTCCAGGATGACAGTGATGGGATTCCATGGTCAGAAGAAAGGGTGGTACGTAAAGTCCTTTATTTGTCTCTGAAGGAGTTCAAGAATGCCCAGAAGAGGCAGCATGGTGAAGGCATTGCTGGGAGCCTGAAAGCAGTGAATGGTGAGTGGCCTGTTTTGTTGTTTTGGATGATGTTTCTGGGCCTGGCCTTGTTTCCGAAATGGATGTGCTTTGGGCGGCTCGTGCTTCTCAGGCTGGGCTCCTAACGGCAGTTATTCTGGACATCCCGCTGAGTTTATAGATTTGTTTTGATGCTCCTTTATATGTTGCATAATATAATTGGCAAGGTGCCTTAGTCTGCGCCCTATAGACAAGACTAGGGCTGCGATCTGGTTTCTGCCCGTTCTTGGATTGAGTGTGGAGCCTGACTTACAGGTTTTTCTGTGAATATCTGTCTTTCTACCCAAGTATGAGGGCAGAAGAAGCCTTTGATGATCTCGCTGAAATGTGGCAACTTTGGTTCTTACGCCCTGTTTATATAGGAAGTAGCCTGAACCTGTGGGCCTGCTGCCCTTCCCGCTCTCTCTCTGGCTCAACAGCCTCCTAAGGCCCTGCTTCCTTCCTTGTTGATCAAGCTGGCAGGTGGCCGCACAGCCACAGGTGGGCAGTGGAGGCAGAGTTCCCGTGCGTCCGAAGTGTCCCTCATCCTGGATAGGTATCAAGTGGGTCCTTGAAGCCTGGAGAGAAACGTGCTCCCGTCTGAGTTTATTCTGATGTCTGTTTTTAACAGGGTTAGTGTGACTCGGATGAAATCATCCAGTGAACACCATTTCAGAACTAGCATTTGGTTACTATTTATATTTTATTCCGGGGGTTGTGGCTGTGGCTGTATTCCACAGCCTCTCTTGTTCTTATTAATCTCCTAGAATCTTAGATAAATGTGAATGAATTGACCGTGTTCTGGTTTGTACTTGTTTGGAGTGAGGAGATAAGGAAGAGGAGATCCTATTATTCTTTAAAAAATTTTTTTTACGGTACGTGGGCCTCTCACTGTTGTGGCCTCTCCCGTTGCGGAGCACAGGCTCCGGATGCTCATGCTCAGCGGCCGTGGCTCACGGGCCCAGCCGCTCCGTGGCATGTGGGATCTTCCCGGACCGGGGCACGAGCCCGCGTCCCCTGCATCGGCAGGCGGACTCCCAACCACTGCGCCACCAGGGAAGCCCCTGTTATTCTTTTTGAGTTCTGGCTGTGATCCTCCGGTAAGAGTCATCACACATGGGGAACCTGACAGCTTGCCAGGGGGCAGAGCGACAGGCTGACTTAGGGCGTCCAGTTTTTTTCCATCCTGCTTAGTTGTAAGGTGAGTTGTCTGGGAGCCTCTTGTTGGAACCAGTGCTTCCAGACAGGACCTTCTGGCGCTCCCTTTCCACAAGGCCGTGGCGGGGTGTTCTGACGTGGCCTTCCGGAACACCACCGAGGTCTGCCCTGCCATCCACCCAGGTTCTGTCACCCTCTTCTAGTACTGTGTGACTTGAAACAAGAACCGCCTGAAGTCTGAGCCAATGTGTATGTGAAAGGCCCTTTTTGAATCTTTCACACGTGCAGAAGCAAAATAATTTGAGGAATCTGTTGCCACAGTTAGTTACACAGCTTGGACCCCTATCTGTTCATGGGTCTCCTACCAGGTAGGGACCCCGCCATTTCTTGGCTGCCTGTAATGGAGTAAATGCTAAGCCATGTGTCTTTTTAGAGAGCATTTGACGTGATCAGTCTTGTTGACATTGCTTCACATTGAACATACTGTTCTGCTCTTAAGTTTTTGAGGGGATGGTGATGGGGGGAGAATATCATTGGATCCTGGGGTTATAGTAGAGCAATGGCTGCTGCTACGGGGTTAGATTTTACTGCTGTGACAAGGCGTGCTCTCATTCTGCTGTTCTGGAGTGGTGATGCCTTCGTGCTTTAGGAATCTTTTAACAACTAAAAAACCCACCCAACTGGGAAAAATCCGCTTTTAGGACAAGAAGGTAGCCAGGTGCCCAGGATTGAATAATGGTGGAATTTGGGTAAAAGAACAAAAACTAAAATAAAGCATTCAAGAAGCAACTAGTGCTGCCAGCTAGTTGGCCAAATGTAGCTCTTGTTTGCATTGGCATACTCGGGGCTTGACGATACCGAGGAAGGAATTCTAAGAAAAGTTGGCACGTACATCTCTATTGGGATCATTGAAGACTTTAAATCATTCTTTTACCACCTCCATAAAAAAGGTGGTCTTTGTTGTTTGTCGTGGTAGTTTGCCTTTCACCCTGATGAAGACTGACTTGTCTTTCCCTCCCTCCCCCCCCCCCCCCCCCCCCCCTCCTCCCCCCTCTTTTGGTTGTGAAGTTGCTGTCTGCATGCCCTTTTCTGGTCCATGTTGGTGTTTGTGCAGGCTGTATTCCAAGGCCACCTTTTTGTTATTCCGCATGTTGGATTTCGATAGCAGTTCTAAGTAAATACATCTCCTCGTTTTAGAACTTGTGTGTGTTTTAAGAATAATTTTCTTAAAGGCAGCTAGCATGTTAAACAATGTGTGCTTTCATATTCGGGGGCTACTGGAAAGCATGGAAACCAGATGCGTTACCATGGGAATAAGTCCCTCTCTGTAGGTCCCAGAATCTCAGGGGTGCTGTCCTAGGGGGGTGTGATCCAGAGACAGCTGAAGTAGCCGGCAGCCTCCAAGGCTCTTGGTGGGGATGGGTAGTGAGGGCTGCAAGCAGCGTTCTCTCTGAAGGTGTGTACATGTGTGTACATATGTGTGTACGTATGTGCGCGTCTACATTTATCACTCAAGTTTGAGTGGATGCATTATAACAGATCATCATTTGTATGCTGTGCAGTAGAATGACCTTGTCTGGCGCTGTATATCACAGCACACTGTTCGGGGTTCTTCATCGTGGGGCAAGTGAAGATAGGTTAGTGGTGGGGGAAGAGTGGTTTTAACAGTCATCATGCCTTTCCTTTCCATTTCCCTTTTCACTTTTTTTGGTCCCCTACCCCCTCGAGGTTCCCTTTCAAAAGTTGAAATAATTCCATTGTTTTAGTTTTAATTGTGACAGAAAGTTATCTGACAGTAGAATTTGAAACTGTCCAGTACAGAGCCCTTGCTGGGAGGTGTGGTATGAAACTGGATGGGACAGACGTGAGAGTAGGTGCCTGCACCCCGGCTAGGGCGGTGTTGGTGGGGCTTCTGCCCCCTGTGCTCCCTTTCTCATGCTTCATGGCTTGAGGATCATGGGTAGGGAGGTACCTCTGAGACCTGTGGGGTTTCTGTCTGTGAGGGCAAGATGACATTCTTGTTGGTGGGCTCTGTGAGTGTGTTCTCTGTGGTAGTAACTTCCTAATGGCACATGGTTATTTATGCTACAGTAGCAGAATTGGAATTACGGCTCAAGTAACTTTGAATCCAGTACTTATTTTAGAATCCAGAATGGAGGAAAATGGCACCCTATCTTTGCAACAGTAGTATTGAAAACAAGGTGTTTTGTTTTCCCCCCTGTATTTCAAAGCAAAGGTGTTTCTTGGTTATTGGTCTTGCCAGAGTTTCCTGGGAAAATTCAATTTTAAAATAATATCTTGAGTTCACAGTAGAATGGGCTTGACATAATTTTTATCTAATTGGGAAATGAATTGACACCACTTCTGCGAAATCACAGGCATGCTAGGATGATGAACAAGCAGCCCCCTGCCCTGGCCTCCTGTGTGAGGAGGGTCGGGGGCTGGTGTCTGCTAACAGGGTGCCAACAGCAGCAGCTTGTCTGAGTGTCTGGGCTCAGCCGCACCCCTTTTGCAGGTCTGGTAGAGACGTAATAAGCCAAGCAGACATAAGATAGTAGAGGGACCTCATACTTTATGTCATAAAATCCATGTTTGCCATCAGTCTTGGTTTGTGGTTCCGAAGTGACAAGGGAAGAATTTTTTTTGGTCCTACTGGAGGTAACGAATCTTGAGTCTGGGACATCCCGGTGGGTTGTCTGTAGGAATTGAAGCCGTTGTTACACAGCTTGTTGGCTGTAGCCAGGCTTCAGGGGAGGCGGTGCTAAGGTTTCTGCTGGATGTGAGCCTTCTGTCTACTCTCTGCTGTAGATGGTGCCACTTTTCCCGGCAGTAATAAATTGACAAAAGCTTCAGAAAGGCTGGCAGAGGCGGAGGCCTCGGCCATTCTGAGGGCCCTTGGCCTGCTGGGGCTGAAATTAGGGACATTTAAATAATAACATGCTACACAAATAATGAGTACACATAATTACACAGTAAGAGAGGGGAGCTATTAGCTGTATTTGAATTTCATTTGCTTCCTATAAATTTCATCTGAGATCCAGCAAACCCTGTGGCCAGCTAAAGCATCTTGACTAGATTTAAGGGAAGCTGGACTCTTTTTTCTTAGAATTTTACAGTAGTTGTGATAGCTGGAACCTATACTGAGCTCTTGCTTTTTGCCAGTTATTGTTCTAGCACTTCACCTGTATTTTGCTCATTTAACTTTCAGAACCAACCATTTTCTAGAAATATAGGAAACTGCACTAGGGCGGATTAGCAATTTGCTTACACTGCTAGTATGGGGCAGAGCCAGGATTTAAACCCCGGCTTTCTCCTTTGCTTATAATAGCCACCACTTAAATAAATAGAAGTAGTTTTGGAACCCCCTATAAAGATAGGGTTTCAAAAATAAAAAATTGTAGGAGTACTTTTTTTTTCAAATAGCAATTTCTTTTGAAGGAGATTTGTGAAATCTTTCGTTGGCAAAGAGACCTCAGAAGTGAGGGGCAGTACAAGTATTTATTCATGTGACCATGGTTCTGGGCTTTATTAGCACTTGTCATTGAATTGATAGAGGAAATCGAAAAACTGCATTCCTCCTGATTGGCCACCCTCCTTCCACACAGATACATTCATTATTTCTTTCTGTTTCTTCACCTAGGGATACAGATTTGTGTTTTTAATATTGTTGTGGAACCAGCCAGCTGGCAGAGGGCTGCCACTCACCTCCATGAGGTGGTGAGAGAGGGCAGTGGCCTTGCTGGCAACAACTGTCCATTTGTAGCCAAGAATCAAAGCTAGAAGTACAAATATAGGACCCCCTGTGCAAACCGCACCCGCCCCCCCATCCCATTGCTTTTTTAAGA